AGAGAGAGAGAGAGAGAGAGAGAGAGAGAGAGAGAGAGAGAGAAAGTGACACTGATTCTATCTCGAGTTTTCTTGTAATACTATTATACTGCGCAGCCATTAAGTGGTCTTTTGTTTAATTGAGAACTACTACATGTAGAACTCCGGTAGACTTCTCTTTCTTTTCGTAGTACACTAAGTTGTTTTCTCTTGTTACATATTTATTTCCTAACATTTCTTGAGTTCTTTTGTGATAAAACATGGCCGGTATATTTACTAATTCATTTTGTCATTTTGACATGACCGTTGATAATTAGGCTATATTATCTTCACCGTGGAAAGACTCGCTTCAGTAGACAATCGTTCCACACGATGAATTTGAGATGCATACTTTACTGAGATGCTTTGTTTGATGCCCTTTTATGCATGGCTGCTGCTGTATCGTAGTTTGGATTGCTTGTTGACATAGGACGTTTGAACAAATTTAAAGCCAAAACCAAATTGACCTTTAATGTTTTAAATTTTTTTTCGTAAGTGACTTACGGCGCTCGCAACTGCATAAGGTCATATTAGCGCGCGGAACACACCAACCATTTTCAGATGGTAGGAAATTTTGAATTTTGCCCCAGTGGCGGCCGAAGCCTACTTTTATCGATTTTTTCCACCAAAGGATCTTTAACATGCGCAACTTTCACCCGGGACCTCCGTGATTTTTCGCCCTTGTCCAAGAAGGCTAGGTGTAGATCTTCCCTACCATTATATCAGGGGTGTGGCTGAAAGACAGCTGTAAGAAGGAGCCAAGGAGACCTTAAAGGTGTAGGTGCGTATTCAGTAAGAACTCAAAAAGAAGACCAGTCACATAATTTATGTCAAAGCATCGCTTTATTTATCGGAAAACGTATTTTCCTGTATCCCGTGCCTCCGGGACTTCCGTACATCATAATTTACTTTGGGGCCATGCCGGGCAGGACTAGGTTGAGGCCGTCGGTGAGTCCGCCGAGAGCCTGCTGTACAAACTGCTGGATGTTGGCGGTGAGGGCCTGGCCGGCGCAGATGGCTGGACAGGAAGACACACACAGGGTGATCTGGGACTTACAGATGATGCTGATGAACGGGTTTCCAGCGCCACCATTATCGCACTGGCCTCCCAGGCTGTGGCAGTTTTCAATGCATCCGGCGAAACAGCCGCACGTGCCGTCGCACTGACCGGTGCAGGCAGCCTGAGTGGCCGCACAGTTGACCAATGGGGGCAGGTCCACACAGGTTTTGGAGATTGAGGTGCAGAAGAACTCGCATCCGGACTTGCATTTTTCAGCTTGGTCAGACCCTTCGTCTTGGGCCATCGAGCGGCCAGCGAGAAGAATCATGGCCAGGACAGCTGTTGCTGCTGCAGAGAAAAGGCAGACAGTGTGGAGAGGGTTGTGGGG